ATATTACAATATTCTCATTGGATATATGCATTGAGAATAATGTAACATTTGCCCTATTTTTATTAAATAGTTTTTTTTACATATGTTTTTACATATATGTATGTATGAATGTATTTTTTATTTTATTTTTTTGCATCTTTTTTTTTTACTTTAGTGTAATGAGTTGTCTTTATTGGATGATACCAACGTGCCCTAATTGTCTGTCATAATTCTCTGTTTTTGGTTCAGTATAAGTCATGTTGGGCCCATATGTGAAAGCAGCCCAGCCAGTTCTGACAGCGAAAGGAGCAAGACTGATGAAAGCAGGTTTGTTGTTTTGTATTTTTAGTGAGGGTGCCTGGTCAAATTGATAAAAAAAAAAAAAATCTTTCAGTTTTTTTTTTCTTTTCTCACAAGGTTTGATCTCACATGGCTTATTTTGAAAGGAGCTCCGCAGACAGTTGCCAGATCTAAAGAACATTCACACTTTCCTCATTTAGCTGTTGTCACTGTGAGCCAYGTTCATTTTGAGTGAAAAATACAACCTAGGAGATCCTCAGAGGGACAGTCATGAACTACTCGCATAAAACTAAACTTGCAACTGAAAATTTTCTTACCAAAGCATGACGACGAAACTTCATTGGATAACAAGACTTTTGAGACCTTTTTCTTAAGCAACATTACATGGTTTTGCAGCTAATGCACCAGTTGGCTCCAGGGATCCCTAATCACGAAAAGTAAGCTACGTAGGAGAGTAATATTGGGCTGAACACTAATTATCTGAGCATGTTTCCTTTTTATAACTTAATTTTCAAACCATCAAGAGGGATATTACCATAAAACAGAGGCTCAATACTTGCTTTAATGAAATTTCTTCATTCAATTAAAGCGTGTTGTATTCTGTGTGCAGAGCCAAAACAGGTTTTTAAAATGTTTTGATAAGAAATGTTGGCTTAAGTCACACAAATGCTAGTGGTTCCACTTACTGTTTATTACACTGGACGCGTTAGACCAGATTTGATGTGGAGTATCAGTAAATAATCATTTTCAGTTTTCATCCCAGAGCTGGGAGCTTTTCATTTCTATTTTAATTGACTATCATTATAAACTGCTTTATGGAAATGCTTACACATCAACCCCTTCAGATGTTTACCTGTATGATGAGCCTCAAAAATATGTAATTTTTGCTAAAAGTCCGTATGGGGGGTGCAGGCGGACCGTCAGTCGCGGAGATGACAGCGCCTGCAGCACAAAGGAAAGGTGGATAGGAGAACTTATTTCTTTTTTTAATCACTTCAGTAGTAAAAATAACTAAATATTAGTTTCTTAATTTCCTCATCATCATTGATTTTTTTAAGTAAAGAGAAAATAGAAAAATGAGGGGAAAACAAAGAGAAAATGTAATTAGAAAGATTGAAATAGAGATTAGAAATATATTAAATAAATATACACCAAGAAAACACAGGGCCACACACCCAATATCTGTCCGCTCAACTAAAAATAAATGGATAAATAAATGGATGTCATTCATCCATATATACACATACCTACAT